TACTAATATCAAGGTGAACACATATTACAATTTTCTAGTTTTAATACTTTTAAAGTTACTTTTCTCCGAGTTAGGCGAAAATTTGATAAAAAATTATTTTCGTAGAAGTCATTTTCTGGCGTATCTTTTGGACGGATTTCAACTTTTTTTTATGTAAAGCTTCCTATTTTTTCTATGGGGGCTAAAAGACCGATTTTTTTATTTTGCGATTAAAAAAGTAGGTGTACCCTGTACGCTGAGAGAGCATGCCGGGTTTAGGCAAACAGGGTATAGTTAGATTTATTAGAAAAAACTATAAAAAAGTAAAAATAAAAATGCTTATACATTTTCTTTTTGAGAACAAAAATAAAATAATCGGCCTTTTAGCCCACATAGAGAAGATTTTAAACTATATAACAAAAAAAATGTTATAGTCTTTATTTGTAAAAAAATTAACACTTTCCGTTCCCCTAAACCACTATTTTAGTTGGACCAACTATGTATTATTGCTGTATAATTTTTTCTATTATCCAGAAGAATTCTGTTGAGCTATCAGAAATAATAAAATCTAAACAATGTAAAAAAAAACATGTTTAACTTCGTTAATCGTTATTATATATTAATTACGATAATATCTTCCTTCCAAATAGAAGACTTTTTGAAAAAAATTACTGGGCATCTCAGCTGATTTTAATAAAAATGTTTAATAGCCAATAGGTAATTGTTTAATTTAATCTTTGATGCAAATTATACTATTTCAACATATTATGGACGACACATTTTTAGGGTTATTTTTAAATTCAAATTTGACTTTTGCAGCATATGTAATGTTTACTTTTAAGTACAACCGTGTGTCCCCGAAATAGTACCACTTATAAACAAGTGTTTTTATATTTTGTGTCAAGAACTAATTTTTTATGACAATACCTCAATTTTTTCTTACCGGTAAAATTAGTTTTTAAATCTCATTTGTCTTTAAATCCAAATGTTATGGTTGTAATTTATTTGTTTTTTTTTATATTTGCCTTATTTTCGTAAACAACATATTTACTTTTTTTATGCTGACATTAGATTTTTTTAACTACATGGAATATAATTTAAATTTATTTAAACTATTGGAGACGTTAATTTTTTTATAGAATTTTACTTTTAACTTAGTGTCTTTAGGCATTAATCATTTGTAACATTTGTTGATTATATTTATTTGTGTTAAGATCTATATTATATTGGTATAACCGTTGGTTAGTTTTTTGTTATTCAGTAACAATAAAATATACTCTATGATGAAAGTGGTACTGGTTCTATTTCGCTGTTACTTATATTATATGTACATCGTTAGTCAACAAAAAGTTTAAATGATTTTTCTAAAAAAATGTAAAACTATATGACCTATTTTGCGTTAATTGATTCTATGATAAAAGTGTTTGTACAGCATGACGACTAGTCATTGCAAAAATAATTAGATTCGTGGTATATCATAAAAACGAAATGTCAATAAAAATATAGCCGTATAATAAAATGCAAAAATAATTGCCATTCAATAAAAACATAATATTTGTCGTGTTAACAATTTGTCACTGTGTAGATCTATATATATAAATAGTTATTATTTGTTAATCGCACAGAGCAGTCGTCGCATTTAGAGCGCAATTATATAAATAGGTATAATATTTTAATAAATTGGTTGTGTTTAATTTGTACAAATTTGTACATGATAATGACATGCTCGCGATGACAACCTAGAAGGCGAAGAGATTCTATATCGATCACAATAATAATTGCAGAACACCATTTTTCTGGGACATATTCGGTCATTAAATTATCTGTCCGTGTAAACGACATTGACAGGACATTACACAATGGTCGCTATACAGTACATCCCAAAACGACAGTAGCATTATTTTTGTCGTTATTTGATTTATTGTGCGTACACTAATGATTGATAAATGACTGTGTAAATAACATGTCGGTCGTTTATTCGCTTCTGAACAGTAATGAAATATTATTATTAAGTGTAATATATTTACTTATACACGTGTGTGTGTGTGTGTGTATGTGTGTGTGTGTGTACACTAATATGCCAAGTACTTAAAAAGACAAATAACAAATAAGCATAATAGGTTATTGTATTGAGCTTATGAGGCGTGGTGTCATTTTTATAGGCACGCGATATACCCATCACCATTACAACCAAGATAACATACACAGTATTACAACCGAGTGTTTTTAGTTTTTGTATTACTAATGGTTTTTAAAAAATGTCGAGATTTTTGTATAAGCTCCCAGAAATCTTAAAATTGTTAATGTAAATAATATTATGAAATGTCCAATCAGTGTTCCGTCAGTAATGTTGCATAGGTAGTTAATTATCATTGAGTTTTATTAATGAAAGAATAATTACTTTTAATAATTAATTAAATAAAGTTTCACATGCGTTATATTTTATAATACATTTATATTGTTATTTCTTTTAGTACCTACACAGGAATTTAAACAATATCCAATAACAGTAAAAATATAATATAATTATAGATAACACGTTATTATTATTTTTATTAGACTTCAGTTGGTAATATGGTATAAATGGCTTATTTGCTGAGATAGACGCAAAAGTATATTACTAAATTATTATTTGTTTTTAAACATCGAATTTTCAATACCATCTCAATACCGAATGAATAATATTAATTAGTGTGATTTCGAAAAATACAAAACGTACACTTTATCGTGGGCCATTGACTCCAGAATTTACGTATTTAGTTATTTATATTATACATATATGTGTAAACCAAACTATATATATATAATATAATATGTCATTACATCGTTTCAGTTTGAATAATTTATCTAAAGCTAATAGCTCATTTACACACAATAACCGTATACAAATTACCAATTTGAAAATGACACCTAAATAAATAAAATATACATACATATTAACATTTAACACTGGTCAAACAACCATACGTTCTGCGGTATCTCTACTATGTGACTATTAAATATTATACATGCATCTGTACCTATTGTTTTTTCAAACAATGTGATAGGTACATCAATAATATATACTATAGGTAACAGTGTTCGAATTGGAAAAAGTAGAGGAACGTTTTTACTTTTAAAAAAAAGAGTGTAACTAGCATTTTTGTTACCCCTAAAAAACCACACTAATCAGTGGCGTATATAGGGGAGTGTTTAGGGGGTTCAACCCCCCCCCCCCCCCGAAATATGTGGTTGGTACGGCACATGTGCGAATTTATTTAATTAAAGTTAATTTATAATATTAATTAGATCTATTCTTATTTTATAGCCCCCCCTGAAATTATACCCTATATACGCCACTGCCACTTATCAAAAATATTCCTCAGTCCTCCCGCCCCCTTTCCCCCTATATTCGAGCACTGTACTATAATGTATCAAATTATTTTGTAGAGTTTAAACAATAAGTGAATAAAACAATTTTATATGACTCATGTATATTATGAACAGATTAATATTATGCATGATATTATGGACAAACCATCATCGAATTAATTGTAACGAGAGATATAGTTGTGCACTCAATTATAAATATGTTATTTTTTTATTTCGGCCAACTTAATGTTTTATTAAACGGTGCAACTTGGACCAACTATTTATTTAATTATTTCAACTAAAAATGTATTGTTTCCCTATATTATCGATCATTTTAGTTGGACCAACTATGTTTTTTTTCCCGTGTACGAAAAACGGGTTTGGTAAACGTATGTAGACAGTAAATATTTGATTAGAACAAAACATACCACCATAACTGTACAGCAATTCTATTTTGCATTAATAAAAATAATAGACAATAGTATAACTATAAGCTGTAGCTTTTATTTATATTTGCAATTAGAATAGGTTGGAGTCTGGTGAAATTCTTTTAGAGTATTAAAACTTGATAAAAATTTAAATTACCAAAAATGAAAAAAACTGAGTCATATTGAAAGTTTTATTACAGAAAATACAGAAATCGAATTAAGAAATCAGAGGTCAACGCATGCCTTGTATCGATAGAAGTCTTTCCTTTGACATGTTGTTGAAGGAAAAAGAAACCGGCACCGGGGCCTTGCTTAAATTGTGTATAGAGTGCAGATTATCGATGATATACGGAAACTAAAACCCAACATACCTAAGACAATATTAATTATGAAAGTTGTCGTTCTCTACGCTTTTCTTACTTGTTTATTAAATAACTTATGCTGAAACATATAGAAAACAAAATTTTACGTTGGTTATATTATATCCTGCTGTGTGAGCTCCACTTATAACACGAACCTATTGGAAAATGGGAATGATTAAGACCGATTTGTTATTATGTTGTGTACCTATAGGTGTGTAAGTGTACACAACATAGACTTGACGCGTTTGTTCTTACTTCTAGACTTGTGCGCTAAGCGGCTACATAATATAACATCATACATGTATACTGTGTAATGTAGGTACAAATCCCGTTAAGAGACCTTTCGTCCGTTGTGACGTACCTATAACGCAGGAGTAAGTATGACGTATAAAGGTAAAAACATCATAAAGCTGCATACGCGTCCATAGTGTACGATACAGGCTGTCTCACGGTAAATGGCGGGTAGGAGGCCAACGGTATGTGCTTTTATAAAACAGTTGTAGTACACGACAGCGAAATCACGAAGAAATTAAAAAGGAAAAAATGGAATAAGAGAAAGACGACAATAATAATATAATATATTGTATGTATGTATGAGTTTGGGAAAAAGAACGACACGGATAAGCGAGAGCGAGAAAGAGTGAAAGAGAAAGAAGGGCGCTCGGGGGAGACGTGGATCGGCGGTGGGTGGTTGGAAAAATTCTAAGTGGGTGTTACGCCGTTTGAACGCGACGGTGGTCCCCATCGCGGTGCCGGATCGTTTGGGCACGCCCGGCGGCCCAATCGTGCCGCAGCACCGGCCACGCCCATTTTAGCGACAGATTTCGCGCGTCGGTGGCCGGCCGCCGTCGACGACGACGCCGACATACCGGCACCGGATCCCTGTGGACACGGTGCGTTTACCGGCAAATGACGGACACGGCGACAACGTTTGAATAAAATTATAAAATAGTCTGTATATGTAAAGACCACGCGGTACGATTCAATATATTTTAACATAATATACATTTTTTTCTCCTGTTCTCGGTTTTCGCTTTATGTCTATTGTTTTACGGTTTGTCTTGTGAATAAGCGGGATAATATTATATTAGTATACATATTGTTACTTCGGCCAACCGAATCCGGCACCGTGGAACTAATGTGTAAGCGATGAGCGCGACCAAAGAGAAGACGATGCCCCAACGGTCGCCGTTCGCCATACAAGAATTGTTGGGACTGACCGCAGACGGGTCGAGCAACAGAAGCCCGTCGGCCGCGGTGTCCGCCGTCACGCCGCAGCACTACTCGCACCTGCCGCCGCCGGGACCCGGTCCCTCGTGTTTCGCTGACCGCGAGCGGCTGCACCACGGCCACCACAACCACCACAGCCAGATGGTGGCCAGCAGATTCGCGTACTTCAACGCTCAGGCAGCGGTGGCTGCCGCGTTTCTGCCACACAACATGAACTCGTTGGCCGCGGCCGTCGGCATCACAGCCGCTGCCGCAGCCAACAACAACGGCGGCACTCCGTTATCGCTGGCGTCCAACCACTCGGCCGCCGCCGCCGCAGCAGCAGCAGCAGCCGCAGCCGGTAAGTCGTCGATAATGTAAATCACTTTTATTACTCTTACAACAACTATAGAGACGGCTTGCGTGATAGCCAACATTTCAAGCTCATTGGTTCATATTAGGTATATGCAGTGGTGTCGTGAACTTTTCTTATCTATGTGGAGGTTAACAAATCCCAGTTTCAACAATAGGTACCTTCGTATTGTACAGCGTTTCATCATAGTTGCACTCGAATTACCTGAGAAGTTTCACATATTATGTATTTTATTTGCATATTTCCAGTTAGTTTCCTGGTCAAATATACTATTTCACAAAGGTAAAAGCATTCTCAAATTATAGGTTTTATATATTATGCATGAAATAATTGAATAAGAAATAAGTATATAACTGTACTTTTCCGGTAAAGAGCAACGGGTAATAGGTTTTTAGCTTCGATATGGAGCTAAGGAGCAATTGGTTTTACTAAGATGTGAGCTTTTTTTTATGTCCCCTTCCACTGTAACTTAATACCAGTCCAATTTTTTTCGAGTAGCAACTCTATAAATCACAATTTTTATCTATTTGTGACTTTGGGGAGGGGGGGAGTTAAAGTTAAAAACTTCACTCCTTCACCCTTATAATCGAGAAAAACAAAATAGAAACTATAGGAATTTTCTATTACCAATTTTGAATTGCTATAGTTTCGAGAAAATTGGTCGCATCTAATCGTTTATTTGAAAATGGTTTTAACACTTTCAGTTTTGTGTTATATTTTAGTCCAAAAGTATAAAAATCAAACTTAAACTCATTTTTGCCACACTCAACTTTACTTTATAATTGTCAATAGTTTGGCAAAATTATTTGTGATTTATACTTGTAGTCTACAAAATTACCAAAATTAATTAAAAGCTCAAAAAATCCAGATTATTAGACCCGACCTTCGAAAATAAAGACTTGGATAACTTTATTTCATTACATTAAAAATGTATTACAAGTGTGTAAATGTACCTACTATTGAGATAATTAGCTACTTATATAAGTCTTAGCTTAAAAAGAAGAGATAGCATAGTCAATAAATAACAATTACTAGTGAGATTATAATATTCACTGTATTTGTTACTAACTATGAAGCATATTTTATTATGATTAATTTTTTTAGAACAGGTACATTATATTATAGTACCTGTTTAAAAACTTGCTACGCATATTCCTAAAAATGTATAATGTAATACATTTTCAATTCTCTTTATTTTTTATATAAATTATCACAACATAAAGCCATAATAATTTACTGTTTTTTATTTAAATATCAAATCTAACTTTAAGTTAGTTTTGAAGTGAATGAACATATGTAATAGCGCTTTTAACATCTTGCTAAACCTTAACATGACAGATGCATCTAATTGATTTGTAAAATGTCTAGCTCATAATAGGCGTTACGGGAAATGAGTGACAGGTCTGTCTTAACGAATTAACCTTAGTCAATATCGGTATAACAAATTGTTGTATTTTGTTGTATAATATCTAACCTATATGTTTATAGGTAACATATAGTTCCTACTAAACATAACTCATAAGATAATACAAGTGAATGAATACAGGTTTATAGTTATAGAATTAATTCGGCCTATAAATCATTTTTTTAGGATATCCTGAAAAAATTCGTTGTGGCAAAGTTTTGGGGAATATGAATACTTAAAACTTATTTATATATTTACGTTTATAATTAGTTTACCAACCCTGATTATATACTAATTGTATTAGTTAGATATAATTGACGATATATTGACGTCATTTATTACAGAAAAAAAAGGACTTTTTATTATATTTTTCTAATTGATTATGCTTTAAAATTAAAAATTCTTTAAATGTTTTACCATACAATGAAAAAATTTGGTTTTGATAATGTTTTATCTAATTGACCACATATCATATTGTTACCCGTTAGATAGTGAGCCACCAATGCTTATATTATATCTTTGTGATAATTTAAATTATAATTATTTCAAATTAAACGAGCTAAGTAGAAAGTACAAAATTAGTTCATTCGAGGGAAGAAATAAGTAGAGTAAGTCCGGATATAGCTGAATGAGACGGATATCTTCTTGTTTTAATCTATATTACTGCGCTAAATCTTATCTAATTGTGATGACCCTCGAAGTATTTTGTGAAGGTTATTTATAAACGTGGAGGAGATTTTTTCCTAATAAAAATAGTTATGGTATTTTCAGTTCAAAAAAAAAATCAGTTAAATTTTTAAGAATGAACGAAATAACGTGTTTACGAATTGTATTGCGCGTTATCTTCAGAGCAAAATTTAATTTATAGCCGGAAAGAGTTATATTTTTTTTTTCAAGTACATTCGTATAAATAATCGACATATATAATATATATATATATATATATATATATATATATATATATATATATATATATAAATACAGGGTGATCAACTTATCGTGAACCACCCAATATCTCATTGGATTTAATTAATAATAGAAATTTTTTTTTTTTAATAATTTTTTTTACAAATGTCATCTCAATTTCTCGCAATTTTTTTTTTTTTACCCTCTCCCCATCAAGTTTTTTTGATAGCAACTTTTGAAACTTAAATGGTTACGCTTGAAATACATTAACTTTTTAAATTGCTAAAAATGTTGATTGGTCGATAACTAGTTTTGGATAATTATTTTTGTGCGGTTGGGAAATGCGCGCAAATAAAAATAATACTACCCCTCCACCTTTCTTCCTGTCCTGATCTTGAAACTTCAATAACTTCAAAAATAGTTATCCAAAACTGATTATCGACCAGTCAACATTTGTAGTGCATTATTCTCAATTAAAAAAAGTAATAAAATGTATGAGTTACTGTTTAAGTTACAAAAGTTGCTATCAAAAAAACTTAGTTGGGAGGGGGAGGTAAAAAAAAAAAAAAAATGTTAAAAAATTGATATCACATCGCATAAAAACACTATGCAAAGAAAAAATAAAATTTCTTATTAAACCCAATGAGATATTGAGTGGTTCACGACAAGTTGATCACCCTGTATAAATTTATGTATTTTTTTGTACAAGAACGATTTTAAATGAAATTCGCCAGCAACTGGAAATTGACTTGGTTACCTTCTATAAGTAAAAAGATTCTTCACTTTCGGAATAATTCTATAGGAAGCTTGCCAACTAAAATCACTCATCCGGATTTTCTTGCCATGAGAATTTTTTTTATAAATGTTTTAAATTTTAATGTAGGTATATTAAAAACTATATAACATGAACGTGTGTTTGCTGTATTACATACATATACATAACGCAATATACACGTCAGCTTTTGTAATAATTATTATTCGTAATATAACTTTTGACATTAAAAATGATTTTGCATAATACGGTTCAATAGGTGTTTTCTGTGCCTAAATTAAATGGTTAGTTCATATTTTGTTTTAATTACCTACCTATACTTTTAAGTAATCGTTTTTACAGCTTTGTTTGGTTAGTTTCTTTTTAATTTAGCTTTCGGCAAGCTTTGTTTTTTACTTATCATTCCCGACGCTCAATATCGACCAGTCAATGACCTTATTTTCCTTTTTAAAACTTCTTAACAGAATAAAGTGTAGGAATAAATTAAATTTATTGTATAAACTACCATTTTTTATTTATACTGTTTGACGTAACCCCCATGTTTGTTTTGGCGTTAAATATTAATATACCATCTATACACAGGACACAATAGCTATTTTTATAATTTACCATTTGAAAAGTTTTAATAATTATCAATATGACATTCGATCGCTTTAAAATAAAGTTAACTACACATCGAAAAATAATAAATCTAATTCACAAGGACTATTATACTTATCAATATTTATAATTAGTTTTAAACTGAATAGATACAATTTAATATGAACGTACTTAGGTAAAAAACAAATGAGACTTATTTTTAGCCGGCTTATTTGAATATTAAAATATAATTTTTCTGGCTTAAGTTTATTTGCTTTGCTAAATGTTTGCAACCTTCTGAATTTTAATATGGACTCCATGAGTTGTCGTTAGGTCGGTGAGAAACTGGAAAGTGCTACTTCCTATTGTTATGATAGTAATAATAATAATTAGTGTTATTGTATGCTATTATAATTTTCTAAATTATTTTTTTCTGTCAAACAGTTGTGTTAATAATTATTACCATAATAATATAATAATTTGTTACACACAATAATAACAAGTAATAAACTTTCGATAAACCCGTAAGTTTGCGGTAAAGGATAAGACCGCAGAGGAAGATTTTGACCCAAGGAAATTTATATTTGTCCAACTAAAACTACCTTTTGACTCATATATCATATTCAATGATCGTAATGAATGTCACTTAATACAATAGCTTATCCGTATAACTATTATATTAATGTTATTTGTTTACTAGTATAGCTATATGTAACGCATTATTGTACTGTATCATAACATCAACCTCTTGCAAAAATTCATTAACGGCGAATTGGCCATTTTTTTTATGGCGCTATCTCTTGTAAGATACCATTGTCTTTTGGTTAACAAGAAGTGTTCATAGTGAATTTCCCACTCTAAATGTTTTTTTTATTAATAATTTCATATTTTAACTAACGGCTAATATAAAAAATCTATAAAGCGAAAACTCATTAGTTTAATGAGTTTTGGCTAAATTGAAATAACACATTTGTTTTTTGCTATGGGGCCCGTATCAGTGATATCTAAAATTCAATATCGGTCCAATAGTGATGAATGATTATGTTTTACAACACACAATAAATAACCAGAGTTCATTATCGGCGCGGGTTTCACCGATATTGATTTTTTTACAGTTAATACCAATAGAAATCATCGTTTTTCTATTTAGAAAAACTCATTAACGGCTAACATAAAACATTTAATGATATAAAAAACTATGTTATGCTACATATTATTGAAGAATCCTAATATATTTGAATACAATACTATATCAGGTTTCATAAAAAAAAAAAAAATGTGAATACTTTAAAAATTATAAATTCTGTAGGGTGTAGACCAAAAATT